GCCCAGGCTCGGGCAGTGTTTCGTTCTGCTGTGCATAGGGTTGCTATTGGTTGGTACCAACTCAATGGCACCTAACAACAACAACAATAGGAGCAGAGAGCCATGTGTTTCTCTTGCACAATAACTGGTTGATTCAAACAGCCCATCTTGTGGTTCCCAAGCCCGTGCTTATCCTATGGAGCTACCATGCTTCCACAGGAATATTAAACATTTGTGAATGTAGTTTATTATTTGGTGAACTCTAATAATTTGCTTTCGAAATATCTCCCTTCCTTTGCTTATTTCATTCATTCTTTATTTTTTTCTCTCTTTCCCTTTCCACACTCTCTACCTTCCTCCTCCATCCCTATGCTTATCACCAGGAAAGACAATATAAATCATACTAATTCTACAATGCTTTGTCCACATATTACTCCATTTCTCAGATTTCTTCATCACTCAGACATGGCTATTTATCCCTCCTCTAAGTCACAGTTCTGCCCCCAGGGTAGGCAGATAACCTAGATCAATGCCACACATGTGTTAGAGTGTGTGTGGACCATTTTCATTGCCACAGTCTAAAACTTATAGATTTGATTATTCCAAACCAAAGGTAGAGAGGATAGATGAATGTTCCAGGGGTCAAGGGACAGGACTGGTCAACATTATGAAATTTTGCCTGTAAGAAATTACAGAACATAGGATTCCCAAATGTTGTAATGTTAAGACTTTTCAAACCAATTTTTCACTTGAAGAAATAAAATGTCCATTTAATTTTCTTTCCCTTCTAGTCTGTCCATTTAATTTTCTTTCCCTCCTCAATTTTCTAGCTGACTTATCAGCAACATGGAACCAGCAAACCAAACCATCATTTCAGAATTTTTTCTCCTGGGATTTTCTCAGGACTCAGCGCATCAACCACTTGTATTTGGAATGTTCCTCTCCATGTTTATGGTCACCGTGTTTGGAAACGCACTCATCACCCTGGCCATCATCTCTGATTCCCACCTTCACACCCCAATGTACTTTTTCCTCTCCAACCTGTCCTTGGCTGACATCTGTTTCACCTCCACCACCATCCCAAAAATGCTGGTGAACATTCAGAGCCAGAACAAATCCATTACTTATGCAGGCTGCATCACCCAGATGTATTTTTTCATGGTTTTTGGAGGCATGGATACCTTTCTTCTGACTGTGATGGCCTATGACCGATTTGTAGCCATCTGTTACCCCCTGCACTACTCAGTCATCATGAACCCCCGCCTTTGTGGTCTGTTGGTTCTAGTGTCCTTGTTTATCAGCTTGCTGTACTCCCTAATGCAGAGTTTGTTGACACTGCGGCTCTCCTTTTGCACCAATTGGATAATTCATCACTTTTACTGCGAACTTGCTCAGGCCCTTAAAATTGCCTGCTCAGATACACTCATCAATCACATTCTGCTATATATAGTGGCAGGACTTCTCGGCATTGTTCCCTTCTCAGGAATCATTTTCTCATACACTCGAATTATCTCCTCCATCTTAAGAATCCCATCAAGTGATGGGAAATATAAAGCATTTTCCACTTGTGGGTCTCACCTGTCTGTGGTTTCTTTATTCTATGGAACAGGCCTTGGTGTCTATCTCAGTTCTGGAACATCACCATCTTCCTGGAAGGGCATGGTTGCCTCGGTGATGTACACTGTGATCACGCCCATGCTGAACCCTTTCATCTACAGTCTGAGGAACAGAGACATCCAGAGGGCCCTACAAAGAATTCTTAGGAGAGCACTCTAAGTTCAGTAAAAGGAACATTGACTTAGTTTTTTTTTTTGTTTGTTTTGTTTTGTTTTGTTTTGCTGGTAGTGGACTAAAGAAATTTTGTTTCTTAAACACATAGTCCCTGGATAATACACATAGGTTGTCTGAAAGCTTAGCAATACAAACATCCACAGAGGTGCCTAGGAAGAGAGACCTTGGTAATATGCTTCCAAAAGATCACACCTTGAAAACTATATGGAACGAAGTTCCACTCTGCACACTTGGAGTCATTCTAATTTGGATTCAAGTCAACAACAATGAAATATAACAATAACATGAAATACTGCTTCTCAGCTATCCTAGTTTGGTTAGAGTTGGCTTGTGACTGATTCTTCTGGTCTTCTTAAAGTGACTCCTTTATTTCTGCCAACTCTATTTCTTCATCTTCTTCTTTGACAATTTATATTAGTAACTCTCAGCCTGCCATTCACACTCCTGAATGTCTTTAGGAGAATGAATATTCCAGAACACTTAATTGTGCTCATGAGGAACCTATACATAGAACAAGAGGCAATTGTTCAGACAGAACAGGGGAACACCAAATAGTTTAAAATTAGGAAAGGTGTGCACCAGGATTGTATTCTTTCATCATACTTAATCTGTATGCTGAGCTAATCATCAGAGAAACTGGAATATACAAAGAAAAGCCTGGCATCAGGATTAGAAGAAGACTCATTCTCAACATGTGATATAAAGATGATACAAGTATGCTTGCTGAAAGTGAAGAGGACTTAAAATACTTACCAATGATGATCAAAGAAAACAACCCTTGATATGGGCTGCACCTCAATGTAAAAAAAGACAAGTCCTCACCATTAGACCAGTAAATAATATCCACATAAATGGAGAAAATAATTAAGTTGCCAAAGACTCAGATCAGCCATCAACACCAATGAAAGCAGCTGTCAAGAAATTAAATGTATTGCATAGGCAAATCTGCTGCACAAGTCCTCTTTAAAGTGTTGAAGAGCAAAGACATCTTATTGAGGACGAAGGTGTGCCTGAACAAAGCCATGGAATTTTCAATAACCTCATATGCATGTGAAAGTTGGATAGTGAATAAGGAAAACATTAGAAGAACTGATGTATTTGAGATATGGTGTTGGAGGAAAATACTGAAAGTACCAAGGACTGCCAAAAGAACAAACCAGTCTGTATTGGAAGAAATACAGCTAGAATGCTTCTTGGAAGTCAGGATGGCCAGATTTTGAACATTTCCACAGTCCATTAAAGGCTTTCGATTGTGTGGATTATGACAAGCTATGGACAACATTGAGAAGTATGAGTATTCCAGAACACTCAATTGTACTTCTGAGAAATCTGTACCTGGACCAAAAGGCAGTTGTTTGAAAAGAGCATGGGAACACTGAATGTTTTAAAATTGGGAAAGGTGTGTGACAGGGTTGTGTTCTTTCACCATACTTGTTCAATATGTATGCTGAGCAAATAATACGAGAAGCAGGGTTCTATGAAGAAAAATGTGGCATCAGGATTGGAGGAAGACTCATTAACAACCTGAGATATGCAGATGATACAACCTTGTTTGCTGAAAGTGAAGAGGACTTAAAATATTTACTGATGAAGATCAAAGAGCACAGCCTTCCATATGGATTACAGCTCAATGTAAAGAAAACAATAATCCTCACCGCTGGACCAATAAACAGCATTCTTATCAATGGAGAAAAGATTGAAGTTGTCAAGGACATCATTCTTCTTGGATCAACTATCAACACTCATGGAAGCAGCAGTCAAGAGATCAGATGATGTATTGCATTGGGCAAATTTACTGCACAGGAACTTTTCAAAGTATTGAAGAGCAGAGTTGTTTGTCAGCTTGAGGACTAAGGTGCGCCTGACCCAAGCCATGGTATTTTCAATAACCTCATATGGATGTGAAAGCTGGACAGTGAATAAGGAAGACCGTAGAAGAATTGATGCCTTTGAGTTGTGGTGCTGGAGGAGAATTCTGCAAGTGCTATGGACTGCCAAAAGAACCAATAGATCTGTTTTGGAAGAAATGTAACCAGAGTGCTCCTTGGAGGCCAAGATGGCTAGGCTTCGTCTCTCATACTTTGGACAATTTGTCCAGAGAGAACAGTCGCTGGAGAAGGATGTCATGCTGGGTAAGGTGGAGGATCAGAGAAAAAGAGGAAGACCCCCAACGAGATGGCTCAGCCAGGTGGCATCATTGATGGTGTCAAGTGTGGCAGCAGTAGTGAAGTTGGCCCAGGATCAGGCATTGTTTCGTTCTGCTGTGCATGGTGTCACTATGAGTCAGCTCCGACTCGATGGCACCTGACAACAACAACAACAACATTGAACATATTATCAGGAGGGACAAGTTCCTGGGGAAGGATATCATGTTTGATAAACTTAAGGGTCAGAAAAAAATAGGAAGACCTCCCTCACCAAGATGGATTTGCACAGTGGCAGCAGCAATGGGCTCAAATGTAACAATGGTTGTGAGGTTAGTGAAGTACCAGGCAGTGTTTCATTCTGTTGTGCATAAGGTCACTAGAAGTCATTATGAACTCGATGTCACCTAAAAAGAACAAGATCACAACTTGGAACTATCAAATAAGACCTCATTTAAGTTATAATCATTACTACCCACCACCCATTCATTGCCATTGAGCCATTTCTTACACATAGCACTTAGCAAATATGTTCAGTGAACAACATTTATTAAGCACCTACAGTGTGCCAGGACAGAACAGCTAGAAAGAAACTCAAAGTCACAGAACAGCTAAATAGCATAATAACCAATTTTACCTTATAGACATACATGGAGCACCAATCCAGCCACATTCCAGTGCACATGAAGCATTCTCCAGGATAGAACATATGTGAGGTCATAAAGCAAACCTCAATACATTTAGATACATCAAAATACTACAAAGCATTTTCCTCCAATCATGATGCTCTAAGATTAGAAATCAACAATTGGAAGGTCAAGAGGAAAAAAATCAAATACATAGAAATTGAGCAACATCTTGCTTAAAAGCTACTTGGTAACGCTGTTGTTGTTAAATACCATTGAGTTGATGCTGACTCATAGAGACCCTTTAAAGGGTTTTAAATCAATGACCGTTGGATTCAAACCTTGTGTTTAATAGTCTGGTACTTGTTCTATGGTGTCATAAAATAAAACATGATATTTAAAAATTCCTTGATTAAAATGAGAACATGAACACTACATACTTTGGGACACAGCAAAGCAGTTCTCAGAGGACAATTTATAGCTATAAATGCACAGATACAAAAATAAAAAAGAACCAAAATCAACACCTTAATCCAATATCTCCAGCAATTTAAAAAAGAGCAACAAAATAAGCCTACTGCCACCAGAATAAAATAAATAATAAAGTGTAAAACAAAGTAAACAAATACACAAATATTCATCTCTATATTGAATTCTCATCTCTATTTCACTGGTAACAAATTATTGTTCTTTCTAGTAACAAATTATCTTTATTTCAGCAGTTTTATAGTGTTTTTGAAATTTTTAAATAGAAGTCATTCATGTTTTATCTTATCATTCAAGAATATTTTGACTATTCAGAATCCCTTACCATTTCATATAAATTTGAGGAGTAGTAGCTTTTCTAAATTGATTTAAAAAAGGAGGTTACTGGAGTTTTAATTGAGATTATGTTGAATCTATAAATTGTTTTGGGTAGAATTGCCATCTTAAGCGTGTTAATTCTTTCAGTAGATGACTGGGAGATGCATTTCTATTTATTCAGGTTTTCTTAGAAGTTCTGATGTAGAAGACATGGTATGGTGCTGTGGGATAATGCATTGGACTACAAG